TTATCTATTGCTCAGTGGTGCAGTGTAAGCGTCCTGGGTGTGGTGCCATACACACTGTCATATACAGTAACTATAGAAACATTCCATGTCTGTGATGTAGTGATTGTTTGAGATAGGAGGACGCAACCACTTAGTTCCCATCACAAAACTTCCTGTAAATTTGGCACCTCATCAGTATAAGATCGGCAGCTGAGGAAAATGTAGTGTGTGTAAGAGGCTTCTACGATTGCAGTTAAATTATAGTTTTGAGTCACAGCAAAAGCGGGGCGTGGGGGATTCCTAACCTTGGTGTACCAAGTTTACCACTAATGAAAAATAATTTACATTTTTAAAGCACTTTATCAAAGCTGCTCAGAAAACCAGGATAGTTATTGATGTTACGGTGTGAGCGAAACTTTCAGCAGTTTACCTGCGCTTGAGAGGTGACTGTATAAAAACATAAAACTGTAATCATCCTTGCATTTGATTCAAGAAAGTGCACATTTATAGTGCTTATAATGTCAAAATATTTCAAAGTGCCTTTTCTGTAGGGAAATGTGGCAACTAAGGCTAGATTCCATAAACAGTCCTGAAGTGAATGAGCCATTTATCTGGAGAAGTGGTGACCAGGAAAAATTCCCTTCTCTTTTTTGAGCAATGTCCAGCTGTACAAGCTAATTGGACCTTGATTTTATATCTAATCAGAAAGACGGAATCTCTGTTACCTCCCAAAAAATACTAATAATCTTTGCATTGGATAACAGCTCCTTTTCAACTTGTCATTAGAATTTCTCAACGGGGATTTACTGTGAAGTGTGGTGTTTTTTGTATTTATAATAATAATTAATAATAATAATAATTACATTATTTTAACAACTATTCAATCCTCTGAGGGATGTGGAGCCATAATTATTAAGATGTTTCTGGGGAAAATCAATTTAAGGTTGTCCTGAGGAATATGATATGAGCAATGGGCTAGCCAAACTTATCCAGACATGTTCCTTCCTTTTTTATCCTGAGGCACTCTGGTTTGTTTCATCTCAAGTCTCGAATGATTCTCAAAGGCTTTTAAACATGTTTATATTTGCTGACAGGACTATCAGGCAGGTTTACCTTCTGTGCCATGCAGGATGTTCTAGCCTGTTCCTACAACCCATTATCAAAGAGCCATCAATTTTAATATAGAGCAGCTTTCTACTTTTCTGCATAACAACACTGTGAAATTTGAAAGGGAGAGCCTTGCTGAGGCCAGCACATTACCACTGTGATTCGTTTATTTCTGCCTATTCTCCTTAGGAAATTCTTATCTCCGTATATATCCCATTGCCTCCTTCAAGGCATTCCTCAATACCTTACTCTTTGACTGGGCCTTCGCCCATCCTCCTACCCTTTCTGCCCTCTGCCCTCCACCCCACCGATCCCAACCCACCCCCGCCCCCCTCACCTTGGGATATCCTCCAGACGTGAAAGGCCCTTTACAAATGTAATTTTGTATTGTAATTGTCAAGTTAGTGTTTCAGCTGCTTTTCTATATGAGAAAATATACATCAACAACAACAACTTGCATTTATAGGCAACCGTTTTCCGAGTCTGTATAATTTCATAAATTGAAACACTGGCTCCAAGGTAACCTGCTTAGTGTGTCAGATTCTAGCCAACCTTCTGTGATAATAATAATAAACCTTGGATTTGATATAGCACCTTATCATGTCTTTGAGACGTCTCAAAGTGCTTCACAGAATATTCTGCAAAGTGAATTGACTGTATATTTTGTGGGCGAAATGCGGCAGCCAATTGTGCACAGCAGTGTCTCACAAACAGTCATGGATTGAGTGACCGACTTATTATTATTTAAAATTTTTTTGAAGGGATTATTATCACCAGAAAAGCGATCCGCTAATCGGCTAACAACCTACTTACTGCTAGGTAAACAGAGGCGTGTGGAGTAAGGAAACTTCCCCAATGTTTCGCCCTGCCTGGGAACCAAACTCAGGTCCTCTTGTTTGCGAAGCGAGTGCTCTAACCACTGAGCTACAGGACTCCAGTAGTCTGGTTCCTGAGCCAGGTGGGTCCACAGTACTTCAAGGCACTGCTGATGAGAATCTAGCCAATCTGGCTTGTCAGCAGGACTTGGAAGGGCAGACTAGTCGGTCACTGGTGACAAGGATTTCTACTTGGCTCCTGTTAACCCTCCTGTTAAGCATAATGATGGGTTTCCACATGTATCAGATATTCAGCTGGATTTCCCATAATATAAATCAGTACTGTAGCTTGGAGCACTCGCCTCGCAAGCGAGAGACCTGGGTTTGATTCCCGGCAGGGAAAAACCTTGGGCAAGTTTCCTTACTCCACACGCCTTTGTTCATCTAGCAGTAAGTAGGACCCCGGTTGTTAGTTGATTGGCAGATCGCTTTTCTGGGGGTAATAATTCCTTCAAAAAAAAATTGGTCACTTCAATCCACGACATCACTGTGCGCAATTGGCTGCCACGATTCACCCACAAAATGTATACAAGGATTATTATTATTATTATTTTAAAGCTCTCCATAGTCTTACTCCTCCCTACCTCTGCAACCTACTTAACCATGACCAATTTGGTGGCTCTCTACTCTTGGCGGGCACTGATCTGCTCCATGACCCCCGTCCTGACCATCGGTGGTCAAGTCTTCAGCCATTCCGTCCCCACACTCTGGAGCTACATCCTGGAGCTCCTCTGCCTCGACCCCTCTCTCACCTCCTTTTAAAGCCCATCTCAAGACCTTCCTCTTTGACCGTGCCTTTGGTCATCCTCCCACCTCCACCCCACTTGCCCTCCACCCCTCTTGCTCTCCCTCTTGACTCTAACTCCCAGCTTGAGTGCAAACCCTTCACTGCCCAGCCGATGTAAAGGTTGCAATATAAATGCAACGTGTTTGTTTACTTGGTTTTTTAGTCACACGACTGCAATAATTTATGTAACTGATTGATACTAAGGGGTAAATTCCAAGCAGTAAAATAATTTTGTTTTGGTCAGTTGATTATCTGACATCCAGAGAAACCTATCACCATGCTTCAGAGATTTGAAATAAACTTCTGACAGTTCCACGTATGCATGCAAATTACACTCCACCTGGAATCAAGTGCGCATTTTCTTTACAGAGGGATGCACTGCTCACCTCATCATGGAAAAGATAGCTGTAGGTTGGTAAAAGCCAAGGCTTGGGGACCCCAGATTGTGCACTGCTGGAATTTAACCAGCTCAATGTGTAGGTTGCCATTGTAAACATTGACTGCCAAGATTACTGCTGCTGGTCCAGTTAGGATCATCTTTTCCATGAGAGCTTTGATTTGCAGAATTAACAGGAGCAAGGGGGAAGTATCCATGCCCACCTTTGAAAACTCCTGCCCATATCCTCACCCACACCAAACTCTGTACCCCCATCACCCCAGTCCTTGCCAGGTTCCATTGGCTTCCCTATTACAGAACGGATCGAATTCAAAATCCTCGCACCTGTGTACAAACTACTTTATGCCCCGGACTCCCTATCTCTCTGACTTGCGTACACCCCACTCCACCTGCTACCTGCACTCATCTAGTTCCGGCCTCCTGCTCATCTCTCGTCACCTCTGCTCCATTCCTCGTCCCCTCTGCTCCAGCCTCTAAGCCCTGAAACTATGGCCATGCCTCAATCGCTCTTCCTTGTCTCTCCTCCCCCATCTTCAGATCGCACCAGAAGACCTTCCTTTTCGACTCTGCCTACAGTAACCTCCCCCTCTCCCCAGCTTAGTGTCAGGCTCCGTCACTCCACATGAAGGGTGCTGTTTAAATGCAAGTTGCTGTTGTTGCTGTCTGTGCCTCGAAGTCCTGCTGACAAGCCAGGCTGATTGTTCCAGCTCATTTCTCCAAGGCATTTCAACAATGTCTTGGAGTACTGGAGATCCTCTTATAGAAACATAGAAATCTACAGCTCAGAAGGAGGCCATTTGACCCATCAAGTTCTCACCGGCTCACAGAGCAAGGAGATCACTTCAGTCCCACTGGCCTACCTTATCCACATGCTGCTTCGAGCCCCTCTTTTTTACAACTGTATCTACTTCCGTCTTGAAAGTTACAATGGACTCTGTCTCCACACCGTGCTCAACAGGACAATACCATGACTGTCACAAATGATCAAGTCAATTCTCATATTCCATTGCTAAGAATATCACTGTAGCTCAGTGGTTAGAGCACTTGCCTTGCAAGCGAGACACCCGCGTTCAATTCCAGGCAGGTCGAAACCTTGGGCAAGTTTCCTTACTTCACAAGCCTAATAATACTCCCTCCAAAACAAAACAATAATAGATTGGTCATTTTCAATCCACTACTGTTTGTGGGACACTGCTGTGCGCAATTGGCTGCCGCGTTCGCCCACAAATATAAGGTCAATTCACTTTGCAGCATATTCTGTGAAGCGCTTTGAGACGTCTAGAAGACGTGAAAAGCGCTATATCAAATGCAAGGATTATTATCATTGTTATTTAAATGTACAACTGAAGTATTCAAATAATATCAGGTAGACAAGACCTCGAGTTAACATCTCACCTGAAGGATGGCACCTCTGCCAATGCAGCACTCTACCAGCTCTGCAGTGGAGTTACCAGCCTAGACTGTGAGTTCAAAGTCCCGACATGGGGCTTGAACCAACCTGCTGAGTCAGAGGCGAGAGTTCTAACAACTCAGCCAGGCTAATTCCAGGCTTCAATAAGATCTGAATAAATGATTTTTAAATATTTGCAAAAATTGTAACATTTATCAATAACAATAATTTAGATTTATAAATCACCTTTCATGTCAAGAATACATCTCATAGCGTGTCCCACAGCTTATATCATTTAACACATAATTATCATTATAAATTGAGTTGTGAATCTGTAACTAAGTAATAAATTGTTTACTTCTCTATTACACTGACAAACCTGTAACATTGACTAACCTGTCCAAGTTTTCTTTTTCAGACGGGAGAATAGAGGCTCATTGACAATCTTGTTTAAGTCCGTCTGATCTTTCCTTATTTCTTCAAACCATTGGCCTGTTGCTCGCTTCAACCAAAAATTGTCTTGATTCTTCTCCTTAAGTTTCCTAAAATATGTAACGATATCAAACATGAGCAAAATTACTTCCTTTCAAAAACAGTAACGGTGACCTCCAGTAGGCTGGAAATGATCTGATTAGATAGGTCAAGTTTTGCTATGATTAACATACAAATCTTGATTGAAAATTGATTACAAAAAAGACAATAATAAAATAATAATCCTTACATTTGATATAGCGCCTTTTACATCAGGGGGATGTCTCAAAACGCTTCACAGGATATAGTGTAAGTGGCGTGACTGTGTGATTTATGGGTGAAGATGGCAGCCAATTGCGCTGTTATGCCTCATACCCTCAAACCCTAAATCATCCTGGTGGCTCTTGTCTGAACCCACTTTAATGGACAGTATTCGTCTGAAGGAAATGTGCCCCAAATTAATAAAAAGTAATAATAATAATCCTTGCATTTGATATAGCGCTTTTCGCATCTTCTAGGCATCTCAAAGCGCTTCATAAAATATACTGTAAAGTGAATTGACTGTATATTTGTGGGCGAAATGCAGCAGCCAATTGCGCACAGCAGTGTCCCACAAACAGTTGTGGATTGAAGTGACCAATTTATTATTGTTCATCAATAATCAATTAACATAAATTACGCACAATAGAACTATGATCTCATTGGTGATCTGCAGATTAAAATAACTTCACTTATGGTCAAATGCCCTCAATATGTCATACATTCCTATGTTCCTCAGTAAAATCTAGATAATAGTATTTCTATTTGCTATAAGATGTGCTATGTGAGGATCAGCACATTGAGGGACATTCCTATCTTGTTGTTTCAGGCAATGACTGGCACATTCAGAGGGGTCCTGGCCAGGTCAATGGCTGTGGCAAGCAAATTTGTCCAACTTTGTTCAAATGGTTATGCCCAAATCTGCTCAACCAGGATTTCAATGGCATTTTGCAGAATTACTAGTTTATATTCAAAATTATGAGGGGTTTTGATAGGGTAGATAGGGAGAAACTATTTCCACTGACAGGTGGGTCAGTAACCTGGGGACATAGATTCAAAATAATTGGCCAAAGAACCAGAGGGCAGAAGAAGAGATATTTTTTTTTCACAGAGAGTTGTTACGATTTGGAATGCCCTGTCTGAAAATATGGTGGAAACAGATTCAATAACAACTTTTAAAAGGGAACTGGATAGGTACTTGAATAAAGAAAATTGCACGGATATGAGGAAAGAACGAGGGAGTGGGACTGATTGGGTAACTCTTCCAAAAGAGCCTGCACAGGCACGATGGTTCTATTATTCTAAGTATCAAAACAATAATAATTATTTGGTCACTCAATCCATGACACTGCTGTGCGAAATTGGCTGCTGTGTTTCGCCCACGAAATATACAGTCAATTCACTTTACAGTATATCCTGTGAAGCGCATTGAGACGTTTTGAAGACGTGATAAGGCACTGCATCAAATGCAGGATTATTATTAAAAGAACTCAGCAAGTGAGTTACTTTTTGAACTGCAGTGACTGTTATGTAACCAAACCTGTCAGTTAACTTGTTTGATTAATGATGACACAGAAACAACACAAATCAATGATGTAGTTAATTAATTTGAATTTCAATATTGTTTGAGGAAATTCCCTTCTTCAATATTATCCTATAACTAGAACAACAACTTGCATTTATGAAGCACCCTTCATTCGGGATGGAGTCTTGCAGCATTTAATCCTAACCAATCTTTATTGTCACTTGAACCATCATCAGATCAGTCAGATGATTTTGAGTTTTAACATAGTTTAAACATGCTTGAAGGCTTGATTGAGGAAAGGCAAGGGGAGGCTCATGTGGAGCATAAACACCGACATAGACCAGTTGGGCCGAATGGCCTGTTTCTGGCTGTATAATAATAATAACAATTCTTGCATTTGATATAGCGCTTTTCACTTCTTCTAGACATCTCAAAACGCTTTACAGAATAGACTGTAAAGTGAATTGACTGTATAATTGTGGGTGAAATGCAGTAGCCAATTGCGCACAGAAGTGTCCCACAAACAGTTGTGGATTGAAGTGACCAATTTATTATTTTTTTTCTTGAGGGGTTATTATCAGGCATGTGGAGTAAGGAAACTTGCCCAAGGTTTCACCTTGCCGGGAATTGAAACCAGGTCTTTCGCTTGCAAAGTGAGTGCTCTAATCACTGAGCTACAGGACTCCACATATTAGAATGCATATTCTAATGTATTCTAATGTATATCATTCAATGTACTCTTTTGACATTAAGACACTCCACTGCAGTATCAGCCCAGATTAGGAGCTCAAATCGTGATCCCGATCGTCAACCTACAGCCTTCTAATCCAGCGATAAAAGGATTAACAATTGAACCAAACTGAAACAATTAATAGTTGAATAGATTTGTTCCAAACAATTTCACAGTGAATGATCAATGGATGATCTGTTTTAAGCTCTTTAAGCAGACTGTACACATGCTGTTTGCCTAAGGCTTCTGAATCAGGAATCCGACAATACATTTATGGCATTAGATTTAAAGAGGGAGGGGGTGAAAGATAATTACATTTACAATGTTAGCAGATACTGTCAAGCTATTTTCTATTTTATGGGTGATCGAAAAATAAACACAGAAAATCTAAACTTTGACTAGCTGTGAAACAGGAACAACTCCAGTTTGTTCCAGTAATAATATATTAATCCTTGCATTTGATATAGCGCTTTATCACACCATTGAGACGCGGCAGCCAATTGTGTATAGCAGTGTCTCACAAAGAGTAGTGGATTGAGTGACCGAATCATTATTTTTTAAAAAAAATAATTGAAAGTATTATTACCCCAGGAAAGTGATCTGACAATTGACAAACAACCAAGTTGCAATTGATATAGTGCCTTTCATATCGAGAGAACATCTCAAAGCGTTTCTCAGGATTTACTGTAAAGTGTAGTAGCGTCTAATTTGTAGGCTGACGAGACAGCCGATTTGTTTACCGCTGTGCAACACAAATACAGGGTGTAAATGTAATAAAAAAAGAGTGCAAATTGGTGATGTAAGGAAAGCAGACAAGTAGAACCTGCATTCTCTGACTCCTCCTTCAAAACTCCCAGGTTAGATTGGTTGGGCATTTTGTAACTAGATATTTCCCCAGTTAACACACGTCGTTGTGGGTAATATAATGTACTGTTCAAAACCCCAACATTCCAGGATATAAACCAAATATTTAATATAAAAAGTACGGCATGAAAAACAAATTTGCAAGGTTATGGGAAAAGAGCAGCGGAGTGGGACTGATTGGGTAGCTCTTCCAAAGAGGAAATACAGGCATGATGGGCATCCTCCTGTTCTGTAATAGTCTATGATCATATGATTCTAAGTATCAAAATAATAATAATTATTTGGTCACTCAATCCATGACACTGCTGTGCACAATTGGTCAGGTTTCGCCCAGAAAATATACAGCCAATTCGCTTTACAATGTATTCTGTGAAGCGCTTTGAGAAATCTTGAAGGCTTGATAAGGCGCTATATCAAATGCAAGGATTATTATTATGATTCTCGGTTTATTTAATCTCTGATTCAAATCACAAGGGAAAAATACTCTTAATTGTAATCTAGTTCAATTCCTAAAACTTAATCTAATATTTCAACCTATGTTATTAAACCCTGACCTGCTATTACACAGATATGTGGGTCAGCAGAATAGGAATCCAAAGGTTTTGTTGTAACACACTTGATTGTTATATTGCATTTGATATATCACTTTTTCTCATCATCAAAGCATCTTCACAAGATTATACTGTATAGTGTAGTGACTGGGTATTTTACATGACAGGCTATTTGCAAAAAAGGGAATGTGACAATAGACATGGTTGAAGAAGAATGTTTTCAGGTGCTATCTGAAGACTGGTAAACATGGCAAGTCGGAAGGAGGGAGATCCAGAGGTTCTGGGTTTAGTGGCTGAAAACACGGATACTGATGGTGGAACAGAAGGGTCGGTAGACATGCAGAAGGCCCAAACCGGCTGAGCGAAGGGGATGGATAAAGGAGTGGTGTGGTGGGACCAGGTTGGAGAGATAGGGAGGTACTGGGGCGTGAAGGTATTTGTAGGCGAGTGTGAGGATCTTGAAATTGATCTGTTCTATGACAGGGAGCCATTGTAGCCAAGCAAAGACTGGGTGATTGGGGTGCAGAGTTTGGATATTATTACTAAAGGTACAGTTTTTTCAAGTGAAGGTGGAAGTATTGACAGAACTGGAAGTAGTGGCAACCCTATATCATTGAATACAAACTACTGGATATGCAACATCTGTCATTCTGGGTGTGGGAATTAGTTTAGGTAATTAATTAGCTGAAAATATACAAGAGTTTTGCTGTGCAATATCTTTGTTGACATCTACAACTTAGATGTTGGAAGACACCTGTTTCCGGAAATGTGTCTATAACCTGTTAACCACAAATATTCCTGCATTAACTTTCTGTAACAAATAGCAATTTGGTAATGTCTTAAATTGAAATAGTCAGTATTGTTCTTTACAACTCAGAGCGTCAATAAACACATTCATCGAAATAAACTAACCACCACACTGTTGCAACACAATAAAACGTTTATCTTCTTATTTAGCCTCATTGCAAATTACCAATGATGGATTCTATTTCCCAGCTTTATATTGCAAGAGGTACCGTGCAAGTTAAACATATGCTCAAAATACATAGAAAGTCGGGCAACATCCGAAAGTAAACGAGACATTAACGTTTAGAGATTGCCAACATTTCTACTCTTTTTTTTCCTTCAAATTGCTATTTGTTTTTCTTTTTACCAGCAAAATGTAAGCAGTTATCCTCCTGGGAAAGAGTTAAGTGGGGTCTCCTTGGAGCTGAACTGGCTCCAACAAAATGTTGGAATCGAACCAGCCCTTTGTGATGGTGTCTAGTCCGTCCGGTTCCTGAGCCAGGCGGGTTCACAAGACACTACTGATGACAGCACAGCCAGCCTGGCTCATCAGTGCGACTTCAAGGGCAGACCAGT